AGCAGAGCTCATTAGCATTTAAAGCAACATGGACTAGAATTGCTTGCTAAAAACAGAGCTCATTTTGACCCCTTTAAGTTATTAAATGTAATTTATTATTAGAATAATTTAATATAATTAAAATAAACTACATTGCCGTGTGTATACTTAATGATTATATTCATGTACAACTCAATTTGCAAGGTACTCCAACATATTGCAACAATACACCGGTACCATGATACATGGCCAAAAAATGCCTAGGTACTTCAAGCACTTTTGATACTCTTTAGGTTGAAAAAATGTCATTATCTGCAGTAAAGAGTCATTCACAAGCATGTGCAGGTATTTTCATTGTTGGCCAATGAATGCATTCACGTGTTTGAATTCAAAGCAGGGTTGCCAGGTCTGCAAAACAAAATCAACCCAATTGACTATATGCAAAGTTACTTCCTGGTTTTAGATAAGCCAGCTCAGTCATTTCCGGTCAACAGTCAAAATCAACTGTGCTATAAGAGGAGCGCCCTTTGCTCGGTTTCTCTACATAATCCATTCACAATTTGAAGAAAAGTTTTGTTTGTCTAAGACAGTGATCCTCAAATCTGGCTCGTGAGATCCACTTTCCTGCAGAGTTTAGGTCCAACCCTAATCAAACAAACCTAGCTGTGATTTTCTAATGATCCTGATCATTGATAAGCAAACTCAGGTGTGTTTGATTAGGGTTAGCGCTAAACTCTGCAGGAAAGTGGATCTCGCGAGCCAGATTTGAGGATCACTGGTCTAAGAGGACCAAACGTCCATGTATACAGTTTAAGGAATGACAAATGCAAGTGTAAAAAATTAAGTGAGTGAAACCGCTAAAATGTGCCGTGAGTCATTGCTATGATTTAAGGGGCAGTCACAGTGCACTTTTCATTCCATTGACTTCCATTCATAAGCATGCGAATGCGTCAGACCGGAAACGCAAGCTGGTGTGAAAAGTTTCGCATTTCGCTGTTCCAAAGTTCAAGCTTGGTGAACTCTAACCTGTGAATTCGCAGCACCAGAAACCGTGGGAGAATTCAAAACGGAAGTGAGCATCCAAAGGGCAGAAGCCTTGAAGTGTGTTCTTTGAAGGGTGCAGGGCATTACTGTCTTGTATAAGCGTTTGGAACTCCCTTGGCGAATTACTGCGTGCAGCATTCAGCACTCCATCAGTTGTTGCAAATAAATATTTTTTCTTATTATTATTATTTTATTCAAATATTGTCTAATTGTGTCTTATTTACTATTAAACTTTTTCAAACAGCTTGCTTAAACTTGCTTACACTATTGTCTTAAATCATATTTCTTAAATCATATATCACTGACGAAACATATTTTGTATTACATTAAAATAAAGACCAATTAAATTAACCTATTCTACCTACGTTTGTATGTGAAGTCGAAATCAACCCCAACTTTGCTTTAAAATGAGTTGCAAAATCTCCTAACCGAAGATCAAATGATCACAAAATGGAAATCACTTTCGTGAAGTGACCTTCGCATGTTCCCTTCGCTAACGGACTTCTGGAAGGGGCCTTCGTGAAGGGATTCAGTTGTTCACTTTCGTTTGGAACGTTCCTGAAGTGCCCTTCAAGGGTGCAAAAAAAGTCGTTTTTAGGAGGACTGTAGCAGCCTGGAGGACTGTCATGGCAACCAGCCCAGCCAGAAGGAGAAGCAAGACTATGCATCCACCAATCAAAGCTGTGCTGTCACTATGACAACCATACAACAAGATAACTTATGTAACATTACAGACTTTATGCAAATGACAGATGAATTCCTGTTTAAGATTCTCAAACTTTTTTTTTTTTTTTTTGGTTGATT